GCATTTCAGTTTCTGATTAATGAAATATCAAGGAAGTTGAAGGATCTACCCGAGTGTGAAACTATATAATTCAACACTGCATATGTGCTAATGAAACAGAACAACTTCTCTATGATAAGACATTTATAGCCCTCTGAGAGTACTTTAAATGCTTGTTTAACAAAGTATTCATATTTTAGCAATAACTGATTTTTTTCATAAATTCAATAACCATTTGATTTGTAGCAATGAGAACAATTCTTTTTACCAATAAACTTGAAATTGTTATGTTGATGAATACATGGTACACACAATTCCAATGTCCCTTCCCTACTTACACTAGTATATCATTTATTCTGATTTTGCTCCTCATCATTGTTTTTGTAATTTCTTCCTATTTTTTCTAAATCAATCTATTAAAACATATGCTTTCCTCTCAATATATTTAGGTGGATCACACTTTGATACAGACACTGATACTGGATAACTAAACGAAAATGTATACATTACCTACAGGTTACCTTAAAAGTGTTAACTTAAATTTAAACAAAATTAAAAGGAACAGAACAATCTGAATGATTTTGTTTCATACAGCTATAAATATGAAACTTTTTTTTTCATTTCTGCACATTGTCACAGGTCCATGCTTAGGAAAATGCTGAATTTTAAATACTTTCCTAGTTAGTTAGAATGTTACAAAAAATTTAAAAAAAAAAAAAAAAAAGATGAGAGACATTTTTCCAACGGGTTAAAAGATACAATTAAATTTTAACTTCAAATGAGGGAAATTAATACTTTTGTTTTCTACTTCTATGATGTGTGATAAAAATTTAAAAACAGCAATTTAACCTTATTTAAAAAAAAAAAAATTTTTGTACAATGTGAAGAATTGCAGCTATATCGTCATGTATCGGCAGGAAACAGATAAATAAAAGCATATCAATACACTAATCATCAGAATTTGAACAATACAGTTTGGTGGCTATACACAGCCCTATACAAAATATACCGAGGATACCTTACACAATTCATTACATGTATGTACAAGTAGTTTTGTTCTTAATTTACACTAGCACTTTCTACATATATATTTCATGATTTCTAAGAGCATACCACATAAGTGTTTTTGACAATTTTACTTCTTTGTCGAGAATCCACACTCAGTCAAAAAAAAAAATTCAAAAAACATTAGTACCCTCATATCCATTCATACAAAACACTGTGCTGAACATTTTACAATCACTCATATTTTGTCACTTGCTCGATAAACAGCATAATTCAATAAACACTCACACACAAAAGATATGAGCAATTTTCATTTTGGAAAATTAAAATGGAATTAAATTCTAGAAATAACCAAAATTGGAAAACAAATTAAGAAATAACTTTGAAAGTTAATATGTATTCAATAAGCATGCACATTACATTATAGGTGTTTAAAAATATTGATTGATTACAATGTTAATGATAAGGTAGGAGAAATACACTAAGCACATCATAATAACAATCAGTTAACTAAATACTGATAAAAGTCCTCAACCATATCTCATTTTTATTCTGTGTCAGGAATACATGTATTTCCTGAATCATGTTTTTAATCTGTTCGTTACTGGATACGAAACGGTTGATGTTTCTAATAGTTCATATTTTAAGATATTACCAAAAGTTTAAAGGTAAAAAGGATGCCTTTTTCAATGAAATCATAAAACAGACGCTAAGAGTAAAACAGGAAGGGAAGGTAATGATAGGAGTAGGGGCACTTATTACATCAAATATGGTTCACAAACTGTGCTACAACTCAATCGATTATGCAGTCACCATATTTTCATATTTCGTCTGAATATATAGATATGTGAAACATGTTTCAGGTATGATCTTATCTCTCCTAAATTTTTATCATCGATCGTTCAAATACAAATTTTTAAAATTTTATGCATTTTTTTATGTGCCAATTGAAAACCACCAGCAGCCAATAACACTACTCATAAGTCATAATACTGTACATCGAGATAGATCATATTTTATTCTTGTGCATCACAGGATGTAGAACAAAAGCCCTGACTGGCTGTACACTAGATAACCATTCACTAAGTTCAATTCAGATAAAGACCTCCATCAAAGTTATAAAAAAAAATGAAGTTTGTTGAATAGAAAAGATTAAAATGTAATAGCACTAAAAATATAGTAAGGACTATACATACCTGGCACTAATGATTCTGTAAAATATCAGACAATCATTTAGATTTAAAACAACAGATTACATCCATGATATACTTCAATCAATCCGTGTTTACCAACAAAGTAAACATTAAGAAACTTTCAACAACAAGACAAAATAAACATAAAACTCTTAATTCTTAACAATGAAAATGTTTTCACAAGGATGAAATTGTAACAAAATCCTTACCCAAGTTAAATACTGACCCTGTAGACCTCTGTCGAGAACAGGACATGAACACATAACATATTTTACATAAGAACCATGAGGTAACAGGTTATTTTCACATAAGGGACAAAACAAGTTTTATTTTGGAACAGTTCAATTTGTATCCCTCCTATTTTGATGTGCTAGATTAATTGTAAGGAATATATCGGATCTTAAATGAGTTTCATATGAGATTTCATGAAACGAGTCTTTGAAGTTTTTATTTTTCTGAGCCATGGTGAGCAAAAAACTTCAAGACATGTTTCATAAAATCCATTATGAAAAAAACCCCAAATCTTTGAAATTTTTATCACATTGCTCAGAAAAATACAAGTACATTATGACAGACTTTAACGTAAAAATTGGGAGAACAAAATCAAACACAGGCAGCCATTTTGAATTTATGATGTAATGTCATTGTCCGTATAATGAAATCATGCTTAATTTCTACCTGGTACAGCCAATGAAAATTGCTCCTGGGTATATAACACTAGTGACCTAAACACAAATGTATTACAAGGACAATTTCACTGAATAACAGACTGATTATGTGGAAAAATGTCTTTCTTCTGAATTTTTGAGCTATAAACTTTCTTCTGAATTTTCAAGCTGAATTCACAAACTGCATTGACCTCATTGTCTAATGTTAGTAATCTTCTGGAATTCTTATACACGAAGTCAAGAAGAACACCAAGGTAGAGCAAGGCAAATGAAATCTTGATGGCTAGCGGTCCCTGACCCATGTCTTACCTGTCCTTTTAAGTTTCTTGAACACAATTTTCTCAGTATTGTACATATGCTATTCGGTTCTTTTTATCGTGTATTTTGACAAATTCTTCATCTCATCTCTATGACCTGAAACCTTCTGAAATATATGTGTTTATCTAATAATATGTGTATGGTTTAATTAACAACAATATTGATTTCGAGAAACCCTGAGGAGCAAGATGTTGTCCTGACATCATAATAAACAGCAGCGTAGATATTCCTTCACTAAGCTAGCATTATAACACTAACCGTGATATGTGTCATATTAAATCATTGATTGGTCTGTATTGTTTAAGAAATCAATATTGGAAAAAGTTATTCTGTCTCATTGGAAAGATGTCAGGATGAGATCTACATGAAGTCAATCAAATACATACCTGTGGGTATATGCATTCACTTTACACTAAAACACAAATTTCCTTTTAATATCATATTTTCCTGATAATAAAACATTTCAATAACAGGTAACAACTGTATTTATCAGCATCATTATCATAGGGCTTGGAAATGAACTTATAGTAACAGAAATCACTGTACACTCTACCTGTGATGGACATCTGGGTATATGAAATCATTTTAGGCAATAACAAAAAATCTATTGTGGTTCTGGGGCACAATTTTGTGGCACAATAAAAAAAAATCAAATGATTCCAGAGTTATCTGCCCTAATGCCCTATAACAACAGCAGTTGGTATGTATACAAGTATACCCTGAATTCTGCCACACAACCATTTCAACTGATAGAAACATCCCTTAAAATCTGTTTACATCTGCATAAAACAGCAACATGATTAGTGAATTTTATCTCATACTGTCATCAAACAATACTGTTTTATATTTGTCCTAAAATGATTGACTAACATGAAAAAAAAAAAAAAAATGGAAATAAAACATTTGGTAGTACATTGATTTCTGGTTTTTAATATCTGCATTTTGTAAAATTTTAGATAAATGCACATTTTTGTGATTTTTTTTGCAAATGCAATTTTTGAGATGCACATACAAAAGTGAACAATTTTTGAGGAAAGTTTCTACCACGACAAATGGCACACAACCTGTAATGTAGCCTGAGCAAGGAAAACAAATTAAAAATGTACACTGGAAATGATAAAAACAAAATACACTTAGAAATATTCACAAACATAGTGTTACAAAACAAACAGATCAACATTCAATGCACCAAGTACGAGTGAATCCTTGAATCTCTGAGTATTCAATTTGTCCTTGTAACTATTTGAGCAGGAGAGGATTACATCCCTTTGTATCACTTCCTTCTGGAGTGAAAACTTGCACCATATTTACATGATTATAAAAGTTTCTATGATTAAATATGGTAGGTATCTCCAACTGAATATATTATCTAAGTCTCCACTGTATTACAACCCAGAAATTCCTCCTGCACAAGTACAGCTTTACATTTTTCAAGGATTCCAAGTTGATGATCTTCATGTAAACTAAGGGTATAGATGTGCTCTGCAGAATCTTTCTTTAGATCTTGAATCATGGTGTGAAGCTTTGTCTTGACCTTAGAAATGTTTTCCTTAAAATAGGAATATTAGCCATTCAAATCTGATCCTGAACTCCATTCTGCTGTCCTATGAAATCCTTGAACGATCAACATTTTTGGACGGCCTTGAGAGGTCAACATCCACAGATGACCTTGAAAGGGTCAACATCAAGGGATGACTTTTAGAGTTTAACTTTCACAGATGGGATTCCCTTTAAATATCTCCCAGTCACTTTTTATCACTACTGATATATATATATACACATGTATATCCATTAAAAGGAATACTGGCTATATCCAATGCACTAGAATTTCCTCTTGTCAGCAGTTCTCATTCTGTATATAAATGTCTTTGACGACGGGTGGCATGAGACTGTCCTCTATAGGTAACACATTTAGCATCTTGGAATGCTCAAGGCTAATGTTGCGCAGATCTGAGAGGAGCAAAAGGTACTTAGCTAAGGCACAGCCCCCTCGACATCGCTTCTTGGCCTCATACTCATTTAAGGCATCTACATAAACCTTCTGTATCTGTTCCACTAAGTCCTTATTACCTAGCCCTTGTCTGTCCGCTGTAAAATAATCACAAATGTATTAAAATTTCTAAAATTGAACCTATCTATCCTGAAATAATTCCATGTCTTTGAATTCACCTCTGAATCAAAGCAGGGGGTGGGCTTAATAGAGGACAACAGCGGTATGTATCTGTAGGAATATGTACTTAAATTCCTTTTGAGAGGTGGGCTTATTTCTAGGCAAGGGATTATCACTGGATGAATATGGGAATGAAAATGTTTTATTCCATGTAACAAATATGCAACATAGAGAGTATGAATTCCATTCCAATCTTTTCAACTTTCAAGAAAACGTGTTACTTTTAGTTCAATGTTACAGCTTTTCATGTGCAAATGAAACAAACTATCGTATGGAACTGCTAATTAACTCAGAACTTGTTGACCTAGATTTTTCTGTTGTAGGTGTAGCTCTTTGTTGTTTCCACTCAATACCTTACAAAGAAAAGCTGGTGAAAACAGAAACAAATGTTTGATAATATTTCTGAAGGCTATTGATAACGTTTGATAATATTTCTGAAGGCTATTGATAACGTTTGATAATATTTCTGAAGTCTATTGATAACAAATGTTTGATAATATTTCTGAAGGATAACAAATATTATTTCTGAAGATAACAAATGTTTGATAATATTTCTGAAGTCTATTGATAACAAATGTTTGATAATATTTCTGAAGTCGTTTGATAATATTTCTGAAGTCTATTGATAAATTTTCATAATATTTCTGAAGTCTATTGATAACAAATTTTGATAATATTTCTGAAGTCTATTGATAACAAATGTTTGATAATATTTCTGAAGTCTATTGATAATAAAGAAAAAGTTCTCTTTTATTGGTAGTTTGTATGAAACTGAACCTTCGTACTTTAACTTTATTAAGTATTTGAAGATATATAAGAAGTTTGAAGATGATTTTCTAAAGTGTGATCGCACATGTACCACTAGTGATCATGGAAAATTCAGAAAATTTCACTCTCCATAATTCAGTATGAAACATGGTACATATGTGCTGATCACATTTAGGATATTATGATGTTGCATACTTTACTGAATATTTGAAGGAAATTTCTTAAGACACTTTTATGTCCCTGATCTGGAACATAAGTCTATGGTACAGTAATCCGATGTGTTCAGTCACTTCTCGGAGAAATAGCTTCAGAAAGAGCAGTGCTAGCTTATGTTTGATGCAAATATCATTGTGAACAGTGGCACAATCATTGTGAACAGTGGCACAATCATTGTGAACAGTGGCACAAACATTGTGAACAGTGGCACAATCATTGTGAACAGTGAACAGTGGCACAATCATTGTGAACAGTGGCACAATCATTGTGAACAGTGGCACAATCATTGTGAACAGTGGCACAAACATTGTGAACAGTGGCACAATCATTGTGAACAGTGGCACAAACATTGTGAACAGTGGCACAAACATTGTGAACAGTGGCACAATCATTGTGAACAGTGGCACAAACATTGTGAACAGTGGCACAATCATTGTGAACAGTGGCACAAACATTGTGAACAGTGGCACAAACATTGTGAACAGTGGCACAATCATTGTGAACAGTGGCACAAACATTGTGAACAGTGGCACAATCATTGTGAACAGTGGCACAAACATTGTGAACAGTGGCACAAACATTGTGAACAGTGGCACAATCATTGTGAACAGTGGCACAAACATTGTGAACAGTGGCACAATCATTGTGAACAGTGGCACAAACATTGTGAACAGTGGCACAAACATTGTGAACAGTGGCACAAATATTGTGAACAGTGGCACAAACATTGTGAACAGTGGCACAATCATTGTGAACAGTGGCACAATCATTGTGAACAGTGGCACAAACACCCAAGTTTACTGTGATATAATACTTGCTTGTCAAATAGAGATGGTATGCAGGCATAATGCTTTTGAAAGATGATGGCAATACCTCTAGGTAGCATGGCAAAATGGATGGCATTTTTCACCCAATTGGAAAACTAGGATTGGTAATAACTTCTACTTCTAGACAATGAAATATCAATGATTAATAATTTGACTAAATAAACATATTAAATAAATATCTATTGACACATCTTGACCTTATTGTCATTATGTTTCCGTGAAGCATAATTATACTTACTTGAGAAAATACAAATGGCTGTAAAGAGGGCATATTCAGCATTGTCTGTTTGTATATCTGCCATATCTTTACAGAGCTTGAAAACTAGGTCAACATAGGGCTCGGGTTGTCCAACAGCAAGACTGTTCTCCCGAGTGAGAGGTGTTCCATTAGCCAGTACTATAGACTTTGATACAGGGTCGTAACAACGACTGGCTCTTATCGCCATCACCTCACTAGACGCTGCCTGTAACCATGAAAAGCCATATATTCAGAACTGCTCATAAAAACAAGAGGTCCACAGAGCCTGTATCACTCATCTAGTTAGGTTTAGTCACAATTGTTGTATCTAAAGGAAAGGAGAAGAATCTAAAAGAATTAACTTATGCCTCCAGTGGTAAGGTTGGGGAGGGGGTTGGTATTAGTTTCACAATTTTTACACAGAATTGTTTCCCTTTTTATCCAATGATGATGTAGACCAACTTTGATAAAAACACTTTTATCTTCATAGAAGCTGTTTCGTCCTTCTATGAATAATCAGTGATGCTAAAGGCCTAAATGTTGAAAACTTGAGGGCCCAAAGGAAAGTCAAATATGTTTCAAATAAAATGTCAAAATTTATATACGGAGGTATACTAGTCCCATAAATTCAAAAAATGTTGTAATGTTCATACAGCTGATAACTTCAGAAGAATGTCAAGTACATGTTTAACATTCAAATGAACTGAAACGTAGCATGCAGGTCTTATTCCAAGGAAGCTTCAATCTATATTTGGACAAAATCCTGTTGCCCCTACAGAAGAACAATTTTAGAGAATTTGCTACATCACCCATATCTGAGTTTTCTTTAACCCAAGAATGCTTCAGACCATATTTGGACAAATTACTTTCATCGGAATGGAAGAAAGGATTTTAAAGACTTTCCCTCTATGGCACCTGCTTGGCCCTGACCCTCTATATGCTCAAAAGACTTAGAATTATCTTTTATACACAATGCCACCATCTACATTCACTGATGCTTCCAACCATATTTAGACAAATCCTGTCATTACTACATTGTGTCTATTTGCCTCTCCCTGGGGTCCCAGGTGTCCCAGGTGTCCAACACCATACATCAGGAGAAGTAGTGAAAACAAGATTTCTAAGATGGTGGATGCCATTTTGCAGAATGACGTATCACTACATGTATACTTTCTTTGGTTCAAAGTTTAAGTTTTACCAAAAGCTTGAGGAGAAAAATAAATGCTGATGGAAGTCTGGAGAGGAACATTGAGTTGTTTTATCAATTTTGAATGCACCCACTATCTATCATTGATGATGTTAACCACCGATAGAAATCAGTCCTTGTTTATGATAGTTTATATAGCAGTACACATCTCACTGTCCTATCTGTTTACATTCAGGATGCAATTTTATCCAGTAGTGATAGTGATATCTCTGATACTAATTTTACCTTCAGCAGAACAATCTGATCTTCTTTGTCTAGGCGTGTAAAACCAGGCAAATTTTTTGCAAATTCTACAATAAGATGTGTGATTAGAACTGTCATTTTTGCCAGGCTACCAAGTACATGTTCCCCGGACTCTTCTTTAGCATTTGGGTCAATATCCTGCAAGGATAAAAACAATCAACCATAGTCAAATTCACAGACATTGCAAAATGTTTCAAATTAAAACAAAATCTATTTGAAGATATTTGATGAAGGTCAAATATAGAAACAAAATCGATTTATAGATATATGATGGAGGTCACATATAGACACAAAATCTATTTATAGATATATGATGGAGGTCACTATTTATAGATATATGATGGAGGTCAAATATAGAAACAAAATCTATTTATAGATATATGATGGAGGTCACATATAGACACAAAATCTATTTATAGATATATGATGGAGGCCACATATAGACACAAAAATCTATTTATAGATATATGATGGAGGCCACATATAGAAACAAAATCTATTTATAGATATATGATGGAGGTCACATATAGACACAAAATCTATTTATAGATATACGATGGAGGTAGCATATCAACTTACACAAAATTCTCCCCCTATATTTGTCAAACGAGTCACGATTGCCAGAATTTACCTGTTTCATGCATCAATGCATCCAACTTTTAGATGAAGGTGTTTGTACAGCTGTCAGACAGGACAGTATATAATTACAAGATTAACAGCGGTATGATGATATATCTGTACCACCATCTGCTGTTATTTCAATGTTCTATCAGGACTTTCATAATAAATTTGTTTTTCAATTTTATTGCTTAACATAGAAAAATCAGCCCCTGTTCAAATGAACGTTTGTTTGTGTTTAAAACCATTTTACAGAATGGCACATACTAAGTGGGAGTGTTCTGGTAAAGAAATAAAGCTGATTCTCCACCAATGTTTGACAGCTTATCAATTGTTAAAGTGGATTTGATATATATCTACGTATACATACAATTATATTGTAATTATATACTGCTCTCATCTTTGCTACATTTCTCTACATTTCTCTCCATTAAAATTTGAGACAAAATGAAGTAAAAAGTCAATCAAATCTTAAACTGGACTGAGAATTGTTTATTGAACATGTCATTCACAGACACGGATGTTCGGTACCCAATGACCAAACTCTGATTACTCGAATACCCGGTGTTCCTCTGACAATTGACATAGTTACTAGGAGTGTGACTTAGCTGGGTTTTACTGTTTTACCTTAATGAGTCATAAAAATTCATTTCAAATCCCTTATGTAACGGCAGAATTCTCATAAAAAGAATTATAGGCTAAAGGAAGCTGCAGCAGAAGATCTGACAAGCCTCTGTGAAACAGCAGACATCATTTCTGCCAACTTTTCCAAATTCCACGGGGGAGAAAAGTGGGTGAGCCACATTATTGATTTGCCATGATACCTTGTGCATCGCAATATTTGTCACAAAGGAAAAAATAATTGATGTATATGTCATCAATACATCAAGATAACTTTAAATTGATAAAGTGCATGCTTTACTATAACATTGAAAAAATATCTGCTTTATTTAGTAAGAATCAAGTTGAAATTTTTTCATTTAAATTCTAAGAATTCATTGAACTCACACACAAGATACGAAGATTTGTGATGATCTGTTTGGCTGTCAGTAAGGATATAGTTTTCTAATATGAGGCTTCTGAGAAATCCTATGTGTCATCATGACCTATATTATACACTCTATTAATGACAGATGAAATTATAATCAGAAAGAATAAACACATTCAAAGCTGTCTTTAACTACACAAGTGTATGTGTGTTTACATAAACAACACTTTTTATGAATACTTCCATCTCTATCTCTAGAATTCAATTTCAACTTCTTACTCTTCTGTATAAATAACAACAAAAAACCCCACTTTTACAGGAGAATGCTTCTTGTTAAGATTCGACTAGTGACAAACCATGCTGTAGTCATTCAGAGTGAATACTACAAAGCATTAATCTGTTTAAATCATCAGCATGACAGCAGCCATGTTTACAGGAAATCAATTTTGAAGCAGAAAATGATAAGAATAGAAATGGCACTTTGAATAAAATACCTCTGCTGGAAAACTGAAGAGAAAATAATATTCAATTTTAAATCCTAAGGGTTAAATTGAAGAAATTGAAATTTGACTTGTTTACAATGTAGCAATAAGTAGGAACTGCTGTATAAAACAACAACACCATAGCAATATAATTAATGGAGGTTATTTCTGAATCAGTAGGTGTATAGAACATCTGAACCAGTAGGTGTATAGAACATCTGAACCAGTAGGTGTATAGAACATCTGAACCACTAGGTGTATAGAACATCTGAACCAGTAGGTGTATAGAACATCTGAACCAGTAGGTGTATAGAACATCTGAACAACTAGGTGTATAGAACATCTGAACCAGTAGGTGTATAGAACATCTGAACCAGTAGGTGTATAGAACATCTGAACCAGTAGGTGTATAGAACATCTGAACCACTAGGTGTATAGAACATCTGAACCAGTAGGTGTATAGAACATCTGAACCACTAGGTGTATAGAACATCTGAGCCAGTAGGTGTATAGAACATCTGAACCAGTAGGTGTATAGAACATCTGAACCAGCAGGTGTATAGAACATCTGAACCAGTAGGTGTATAGAACATCTGAACCAGTAGGTGTATAGAACATCTGAACCACTAGGTGTATAGAACATCTGAACCAGTAGGTGTATAGAACATCTGAACCAGTAGGTGTATAGAACATCTGAACCAGTAGGTGTATAGAACATCTGAACCAGTAGGTGTATAGAACATCTGAACCAGTAGATGTATAGAACATCTGAACCACTAGGTGTATAGAACATCTGAACCACTAGGTGTATAGAACATCTGAACCAGTAGATGTATAGAACATCTGAACCAGTAGGTGTATAGAACATCTGAACCAGTAGATGTATAGAACATCTGAACAACTAGGTGTAAAGAACATCTGAACCACTAGGTGTATAGAAGATCTGAACCACTAGGTGTATAGAACATTTGAACCAGTCAACTGATTGTTGTGTATCCTAATGGAACAGTTTAACCCTATCAGATTGTTTTGTAGAAATCTTTCATCACTTTACTTTAAGGTATCCATATTATACGAGCTAGCAGACTGATGACATTTCATATCGTCAGCATTTTTGTCATTATGTTGAGGGATGTTGTACATCTGTGTAGGAATAGCAATCAATAGCGAGGATTTAATGTTTACACTGACATACAACTCATCAATGTTGACTTTCTCCCGACACCAGTACAGGTACATCAACTTATCGATTCACTGGGACAAATCTTATTTGAATCTATTGTATAATAATCCAGATACTCTGCCTTGCAACCTGTCTGATGTATACCTCTAGGAAACATACACCATTAACAGGTAGTCGCTGTGATAAACCCATCTGTCGTCATGTTTGCACTTCAGGGAAAATGTACTACAATTGAGGTAGAACCATGCAACCTTAGGAAGCAATTATGTGATATGTTTATCCACGTATACATCTAAAATCTTGGAGGTATGGTCACGTAGTAGTTGGTTGTATGGTAAAAAACACTTACAATTGCTGTCTCAATTTTTTTCTCCTCAGGGAACTCGTACTTGTCTTGTAGTTTTACAAGCTTCTCTATAAGCTTGGCGGTATCATCACACACGCTCATGATTGGCTGATTGTCAATGACCATATATGGAGACATCCCTGGCTGAGGGGCTGCCTTTGGTGTAGTAGGGGGTGATAACTGCCGTTCTAAGTCGGTGTATTTGTTTGGAGACGGACATTCTGATTGCTGCTTTTCTACAATAACAGTTTCTTGTTTTTTCTGGAACCGTGTTTGTTTTGATTTTCGCCGTGCATCCCGCGCTTTACACTGTTCATCAGACAGTAAACCTAAAACCAACAAGATGTGTTTATGAATCACTATGCTCCTGGTTAAAACAAAATTCTAAGTGGGACATTAAAACTGTACTGTGTAAAGCATGTGCTAATTACATGTACACTTTGAGAAAAACTTATGTCTTCATTGTGGTAATACTTATTTTTTACTTTAAAATGTAAGTCAAAGGCCATGGTCAAGGTCACATAGTAAAATAAATTTGGTACCACCAGAAAGGTCTTATCACAATGAAAAATCATGCCAGATATGAAAGCTCTACCTGTTATGGTGCAATAGGTATGATGTAATTCAGAGTCAAGATTATTTAAAAGGTGATAGGTGGTATCCTTAGTTACCGATAAGAATCAGGAGTTTTTACTAGGTTATAGGTGGTATCCTTAGTTACCTATCAGAATCACAGGTTTTTACTAGGTTATAGGTGGTACCTTAGTTACCAATAAGAATCAGGGGTTTTTACTAGGTTATAGGTGGTACCTTAGTTACCAATAAGAATCAGGGGTTTTTACTAGGTTATAGGTGGTACATTAGTTACCAATAAGAATAAGGGGTTTTTACAAGGTTATAGGTGGTACCTTAGTTACCAATAAGAATCAGGGGTTTTTACTAGGTTATAGGTGGTACCTTAGTTACCAATAAGAATCACAGGTTTTTACAAGGTTATAGGTGGTACCTTAGTTACCAATAAGAATCAGGGTTTTTACAAGGTTATAGGTGGTACCTTAGTTACCAATAAGAATCACAGGTTTTTACAAGGTTATAGGTGGTACCTTAGTTACCAATAAGAATCAGGAGTTTTTACTAGGTTATAGGTGGTACATTAGTTACCAATAAGAATCAGGGGTTTTTACTAGGTTATAGGTGGTACCTTAGCTTTGAATCAATTCAATGTGTCTTCAGACACATACTGAGATTTTTTTAGTCTTCAATTACTGTTATTAGAGTCATTACTTCAGGATATATAACCTAAGCTAGATGGACAAAAATATGATCATGTTAAAAATCTTTTTACACTGCATAAGACATGCATGTTTCAACCATTACACTTTATCAAAAACTTCAAAAATCCATTATATATCACAGTAACTTATTTCTCACGAGAAACAGCTCCTCAGCTATCCCATTTCAGTAATAAGGTATGTATTAAGAAAATGTAGGTGGAAATGAGAATATTAAATGTTTAGATGCATCTTTCCTCCACTTTATGTTGATGAGGTAATTAAGTCAGACAAATAAATGTCACAGACCATTTTCCTCTCCTGTCTTAATTGGCCTTCATAGGCAAGAAAACAGCTCATAAAAATGCAGACTTTTCCCCTTGATTGGATTTATATATTATTTTACTCAGAATATTTTATATTTTCATCATCAAAGAAAGTCATAAGATTATATCACCATGTGAAGTACACATTAAAATGCTTCGATTGTCAAACTGTTAGTTAGTCAAACTATCAGTTAGTCAAACTGACAGTTACTCAAACTGTGAGTTAGTCAAACTGTGAGTTAGTCAAACTATCAGTTAGTCAAACTATCAGTTAGTCAAACTGTTAGTAAGTCAAACTGTTAGTTAGTCAAACTGTGAGTTAGTCAAACTCTCAGCTAGTCAAACTGTGAGTTAGTCAAACTGTCAGAGTCAAAATGACAGCTAGTCTAACTGTTAGTTAGTCAAACTGTCAGAGTCAAACTGATAGCTAGTCTAACTGTTAGTTAGTCAAACTGTCACTCAAAAGTGTTGTTTGGTCAAATTGTAAGGCCAAACTGTAGGAAAACACTCAACTTTTCAAATAGTTTGGTCTACTATTGAATGAGATGTTAATGTTATACTCTTGTAAAAGATATCTTTCCAATTACAGCTGTGTGATCCCATATAGCTGTTGTTAGATTAGACAACCTTTTTTGGACCAATTCCAAAACCTATGTTAGGTTTCTCTCCTCCCATTCAATGACGATATATTCAGTCAGAAAATTATCACACATGATATTCCAATGTCATTTCTTACATTCTTCTTTCATTCCAACTTCTCGACATCTTATGAGGCGACAAGCTTGGCATTTCCTTCTCATCCACATATCCATTTCACAGTTCCCTCCATATTTACAGTAGTAATTAGCTGCCCTTGTAATACTTCTTCGGAAAAATCCTGAAAGAAAAAAATGAAGACAAAAAATTTGAACTTATTGCAGTTGATACTATTGATGTGGCCATAAAATGGTACAATGCTTTTCACATTCAAGCATCATTTGCTCATTGAAGTGTTATGTTCATAAATATTTTTAATAAAACTTGGTGATTAAATCTTGGTTTTTTGTCACTATATGTCATATATGGATATGCCAGGTTTGGGCGATGGAGGAAAGCCCCAGTTCCTAAAGAGGACCTACGTCCAGTACCTGACAACTACTCCTGGAGGCCTCGAACCAGTGACTCAGAATTTGAAGGTTAGCGATAATGAAGGTGAAATACCGTTCAGCAGCCATGACCCCACTTTGTGAAACATAAAAGTTTTCATGAAGTATACTTATATAGATCAGGATTATAAATTTTATACCAATACGATAACCAAAGTAACATCCAAATACACTCCTGGAATGAACAGGTCTAAATTTGTGCTTCAATTAATTAAATCACTTTTCGTGATGAAATTTAACAAACAATTTTTGTTTGTTTTTTTATTGTATTGATTTATATTTAAATCTTCAAAAATAAGGTTTTTTTTAAATCTTCTACTGAAGTTTTTTTAATTATTTTTTTTTTCAGTTTCTAAAATAAGTTTTTTCAACAGTAATATATATTTCAAATGTTAATCAAATCATTGGTCTCAGCTGTATTGCTGTTTAAAACGGTCTCCCTTAAGTATTATTCACAAATGTTACACCCAAATATATTTATCATATTCACCTAGCATATAAGTCCATGTCCAGTGATAAGCCCACCCAATCTATAACACTTTAAATAGAAATTCCAGTGAATGCTAAATTATTGTCCTCTAATATTTATGTTGTAAAATAAATAAAGTTTATATAACAGTTTCATTAGAAATTCCAAACTAATGCTATATGACTGTCCTTTTATAAGCCCACCTTCCTGAGACTGACGTTATGATCTGACCCCCTGGTCTATCATGGCATAACTACGGTATCACAGAGGCTGATGATATAAAGACATGATGTCGCACAGGTGAGATAATTATGCAGTAAATTTGATATTAATACACATCTTTTTTAGTACTAAGTACATAAATAAGTGAGGACATTCAAGATGGATATTATATACACTAGCTGACATGATGACAGATTATAAGGTATTTCTAGGAGATAGTCACCCTTGATGCCGAAGTGTAGTTTTGTTTCTATTACATAAAACCAGTTCTAGGGTTTCATGATAGGTATGAATGTTAATACTTTGTATAAATATAACCAGCATGGATATCTAAATTCAATCCATGTTACACTTGGTTGATATCATTACATCTGATACATATATCATTGTCTCCTGACAAAAACAATTGCAGCTCATAAACAGGCAATAGCAGTTGTACATTAGCTTAACAAAACTTCTGATTGTTTTACAGCCATTCAAATCTTACAGACATCCTGACTTTACAGTCCTCTATCTTACATTCTAACTTTACAGTCCTCACAGCTAACACACAAGCTACCTTTACAGCCCTCACAGCTAACACACATGCTACCTTTACAGCCCTCACAGCTAACACACAAGCTATCTTTACAGCCCTCACAGCTAACACACAAGCTACCTTTACAGCCCTCACAGCTAACACACATGCTACCTTTACAGCCCTCACAGCTAACACACATGCTATCTTTACAGCCCTCACAGCTAACACACATGCTACCTTTACAGCCCTCACAGCTAACACACATGCTACCTTTACAGCCCTCACAGCTAACACACATGCTACCTTTACAGCCCTCACAGCTAACACACATGCTACCTTTACAGCCCTCACAGCTAACACACATGCTACCTTTACAGCCCTCACAGCTAACACACATGCTACCTTTGCAGCCCTCACAGCTAACACACATGCTACCTTTACAGCCCTCACAGCTAACACACATGCTACCTTTACAGCCCTCACAGCTAACACACATGCTACCTTTACAGCCCTCACAGCTAACACACATGCTACCTTTACAGCCCTCACAGCTAACACACAAGCTATCTTTACAGCCCTCACAGCTAACACACATGCTACCTTTACAGCCCTCACAGCTAACACACATGCTACCTTTACATCCCTCACAGCAAACAAATATTCTTTACTTACAATATTTGGATTATTACCTTTGCAGCCCTCACAGCTGAGGGCATTGTAGTGATACCCTGAGGCTCTGTCTCCACATATTCGACACAGTTCTTCTTCTATACTTTTTCCTGGTATTCCAACACCCTTTTTCTTCTTTGCATCTGTGATTGTACTTGAGGAGACCGCACGATCTGATGTGGCCCCAAAGTGAAAATCTGAATCCATTCCCCCCATCATCGATCCCTGAGAGCTGAGCACCATGTTGTCTAAGGGGGTTTGTGGCCCTCGCTGATCCACGCTGTCATTGTGTAAAACTGAAAAGACAAGATAAGTGTTTGTAAGGCCTACTACCTTAAAGCTGAAACACACAATACAAAAATCAATAGTTCTCATGAAATTCCATGTACTGAAGTACAGGTGTCTTTGTTCAGTTTAAAAAGTGCAACATTATATTTCTACTAAGAGTGGTGTCCCCTGTATTGATTGAAAATTATTTAAATCTTGATTATATCACATCTTTATCCAAAGTTTGAACTTGAGTCACTATCTTAAATATCAATACCGCAACAAGCCAAGGGAAGGAGGGGGAAGGCAATCATCACTTCTTACTCAAAGTCACGGGATGGGCTTATTACAGGACAATGAAAAAACATTGGTTTATAATTCTGCTAAACTGCAATACATATGTTGGTTTATTACAGGACAATGATATAGTGATGGTTTGTAACTCAACAGAACAGCAATACATATGGGTGGGCTTATTACAGGACAATGATATAGTGATGGTTTGTAACTCAACAGAACAGCAACAGATAGGTGGGCTTATTACAGGACAATGATATAGTGATGGTTTGTAACTCAACAGAACAGCAATACATATGGGTGGGCTTATTACAGGACAATGATATAGTGATGGTTTGTAACTCAACAGAACAGCAATAGATAGGTGGGCTTATTACAGGACAATGATATAGTGATGGTTTGTAACTTAACAGAACAGCAATAGATAGGTGGGCTTATTACAGGACAATGATATAGTGATGGTTTGTAACTCAACAGAACAGCAATAACTATAAGTGGGCTTATTAACAAGGAAATGGAGACTGATAAACATTTATAAAGATAGCTCTTCAGAGCTTTTGTTTCATTGTTCAAAAACTCAACTCTAAATAATGATTCTTGTATCGGTACACAGGATGGATGTGAAAACTACAGCTAACTGCAAAAAAAACCTGAATTACATGTAATAACAATGATTTATCAGCTATATACTTCTGATAGTCATACATACATCAAAAATAGAAACATTAGGTTATATTGTCAACTCAGCATCCGCTCCTGAAAAATTCATCTGTTAGCTCTAACAGAAATATGTCTTGAAGGATGGAATCCTGATATTTGAAGATCAATACAGGTCATGGTGTTTGATGACTACAGGTCATGGTGTTTGATCACAACAGGTCATGGTGTTTGATAACTACAGGTCATGGTGTTTGATGCAGGTCATGGTGTTTGATGACTACAGGTCATGGTGTTTGATCACTACAGAACCTTGTGTTTGATCACAACAGGCCATGGTGTTTGATGACTACAAGTCATGGTGTTTGATCACAACAGGCCATGGTGTTTGATCACAACAGGTCATGGTGTTTGATCACAACAGGCCATGGTGTTTGATCACAACAGGCCATGGTGTTTGATCACAACAGGCCATGGTGTTTGATCACAACAGGCCATGGTGTTTGATCACAACAGGCCATGGTGTTTGATTACTACAGAACCTTGTGTTTGATATGTTTTGTTGGTTGATATGAAATATATAGTAAAGGTGTGCTGTTCAACAAGGACAATGCCAATGTTCACTAGTCTGTCCTTGCCATGGCTGCCATTAAAGTTTGTGACTTTGAATTGATTCTCCAACTAATCTCGATCCATGAGACTTTCATCTATTTCCAAAATTGAATAAGGCAATTTCCGGTACCCACTTTAGATCAGATGATGATGTCATGCATGCAATGGAAGACTTTCTGAACGGTCAAGAAAACGACTTCTTTAAAAGTGGCATTGAGGCCATTAAACTTCGTTGGCAAAAGTGTAGAGATACTAAAGGGGATTATGTTGAAAAATAATGCAATATGTCTGTCAAAAGTCAAACCCTTAAATATGAGGCTCACATCAATCAGCCCTCATATTTCTGAACTGTAGTATTCCTAATACCTGTATTTATATATATATCTGACCAGTAGAGACCCAAATAAAATTATTTACAGGTATATATATATACCAGGTATATATCTGACCAGTAGAGACCCAAATAAAATTATTTACAGGTATATATATATACCAGGTATATATCTGACCAGTAGAGACCCAAATAAAATTATTTACAGGTATATATATATACACCAGGTATATATCTGACCAGTAGAGACCCAAATGATATTATTTACAGGTATATATATATATATACCAGGTATATATCTATATATATACAGTAGAGACCCAAATAAAATTATTTACAGGTATATATATATACCAGGTATATATCTGACCAGTAGAGACCCAGATGATATTATTTACAGGTATATATATCTGGTATATATCTGACCAGTTGAGACCCAAATGATATTATTTACAGGTATATATATATACTATATATCTGAGCAGTAGAGACCCAAATAATATTATTTACAGGTATATATATATACCAGGTATATATCTGACCAGTTGAGACCCAGATGATATTATTTACAGGTATATATATCTGACCAGTTGAGACCCAAATGAAATTATTTACAGGTATATATATATACCAGGTATATATCTGACCAGTAGAGACCCAAATGATATTATTTACAGGTATATATATATACCAGGTATATATCTGACCAGTTGAGACCCAAATGATATTATTTACAGGTATATATCTGACCAGTTGAGACCCAAATGATATTATTTACAGGTATATATATATACCAGGTATATATCTGACCAGTAGAGACCCAAATGATATTATTTACAGGTATATATATATACCAGGTATATATCTGACCAGTTGAGACCCAAATGATATTATTTACAGGTATATATATATACCAGTTGAGACCCAAATGATATTATTTACAGGTATATATATATACCAGGTATATATCTGACCAGTTAAGACCCAAATAAAATTATTTACAGGTATATATATATACCAGGTATATATATCTGACCAGTAGAGACCCAAATGATATTATTTACAGGTATATATCTGACCAGTTGAGACCCAAATGATATTATTTACAGGTATATATCTGACCAGTTGAGACCCAAATGATATTATTTACAGGTATATATATCTGACCAGTTGAGACCCAAATAAAATTATTTACAGGTATATATATATACCAGGTATATATATCTGACCAGTAGAGACCCAAATGATATTATTTACAGGTATATATATCTGACCAGTAGAGACCCAGATGATATTATTTACAGGTATATATATCTGACCAGTAGAGACCCAGATGATATTATTTACAGGTATATATATCTGACCAGTAGAGACCCAGATGATATTATTTACAGGTATATATATCTGACCAGTAGAGACCCAAATGATATTATTTACTATCACAGGTTTCTTATTTTGTCACTTGAATTGATTTAATGGTAAAGGTTATTTTCATTTAATTTTGTATCAAGACACAATCGGTTATCTATTGAAATTGAACAGTGAGTGGCTATTACAAAAGCCGATTCAATCAATTTAATACTCCTTGCAGACAGGAACTTGTTTTTGTGTTCAGCCATTACTTATGTGCCAAACCTGTGAAAAAACTGATCCGTTTACTAGTTGGCTAGGTCTTCGTCCTCTCTATGACCTCTACCATTTTTAATCTCTGATTTTAATCCTATGATGGTATCTGAACACTTACAATCAACAGACAAATCAGCACTATCAGCTTCCACCCCTCTGGGTAAAAACAAGTGACAGTCATGACCTACACAATAAAATCCAAATCTCTGATGGGTTGACAAGTATATACACATATAGGCATCAAACAATTCTATTTCTTCCAGCAAGGTTAAAAGGAAAATAGGGAATTATTTCCCGATTACTACAGGCAATGTTTAATGATATTGTCTATGTGTTCATTTCTGTCAAAAAATCTCCTTCCAGATATAGACACAGAACTGATGACTTATCTGCTGATCTGCCTTTTTTAATCATGTTTCCCCCTAGTTTTCTAAATTAAATGTATAACCAATATTTTCAAACACATTAAGGAAACCATGTAGATATACTGTAATTGATTACATGCAATATCAGTGTGCAATATACAGACCTTATATAACATTCACAAATTCGACATTAATGTATAAATCCTGTTCTTTAATCATTGCTTCACTTCATCTTGTTTATATAAATACCTGTCTGTAAAGGATATCTTATGTAAAAAAAACCTGTCTATAAAAGTCATCTGTATATAAAAATACCTGTCTATAAAATCATTTGCGTATAGGAATACCTGTTTATAAAAGTCAGCTGTATATAAAAATACCTGTCTATAAAGGTCATCTGTATATAAAAATACCTGTCTATAAAAGTCAGCTTTGTAAAGAAAAACCTGTCTAGAAAGGCTACTTTTACTTATCAGAAAGTGGTATAAAAGCGACTGACTTTAGGTCTGTACGTAATGCAATTAATATCAATTGAACCTTCATACAGATCATGTGTACCTGCTTATAAAGGTCACTTCCCCGTTCCTTTGAGTGGCATTTTAGACAGTTTTGATAGAATAATTCCCTAATACATATACATGAAATTACATTGGCTACCTTAATTACCTTCAAAGGCATCATTTTATTGGCTACCTTAATTACCTTCAAAGGCATCATTTTATTGGCTACCTTAATTACCTTCAAAGGCATCATTTTATAATTTGCATTGTTGTCACATATTATTCAAGAGAAACTTTGGGTATAATACAAAGCCTCATTCTTGGCCCCACTTATCAGTCAATCTTATAACTATATGACAATCTGTCAGAAAAAAGGAAGGGAAGTAACTCTGGTAAATCAGAAAGGTACAACTACTGGCCTAATGCTTGAAAATTTAATCTGTTTTTCAACATCCTAATCTTAGTAAAGAAATTGCACAGACAAAATGGAAATGATTAGGAAGAAAGCTTTCAAATTGAAATGCAACCTGATTACATAAACATACATTTACTAGATAAGACTTGTTAGTAATGTCATAAAGAAGCAGTTATTTCTATAACAATATCAATTTTGAGTAAAGAACCACCTAAATGCCAGTGAA